TCCTATATCTTAAGTAAACTTCATGTTCTCTAAATGTAATTAGCATAATATAAATTCATTATAATCAAGATTTTCACTTTTCATGCAACTCAACTAAACAGTTCGAATAGGTGCAGTCGTTTTTGTTACTACTCCAGTCGGAATATCAGATTAAAGGTGAATTTGCTAAATGTTCTAACCTATAGTCCATAGGTTTAAATATATGCCAAAATTATCTGTAAACTAATCAAATATTCTACTCTTAATTACTTAATTTATCCAAACAAGTAAAACGATACTAAGGATATGAATCAATAAATGTTATGTAACAAAACACTTTATCAAATTATTCCCCTTAATTACATATATTCAATCATGTGGATAATCAAATAATTATCAGAGTATGTAATGTCTACGATACTTGAACTGTATTTTCTGTACATGATTGAAATGAAACGATTAGGTTCCAATTTAACCGTTGTTTGGCAGAAAAACTATTAACTTGATTGTTTTAACTATACCATATTATAAAATATGTAAATAATTATTGAATATCAAGTGTATATGTGTATAAAATATGGTATAAATATTTCGAAGAGATTGAAGGATATATTACGATAAGATTAATTCTTTCAACATGATCACTTCATGTACAAAAAACGATGGATTAAATTTAGTCAAGGGATAGATTACACAATATATATTTAATAGTATTGAAAATGATCAAGGTGGTTGATTTGACTTCAAGGCATTTATACAAAATGTTTTTTTAGATATATATGTGATAATATGATTTAATGGATGACTTTTACTTTAGATAAAGGATATGTTCATATTCAAAGAAATTTTACAAAACAAGGTAACTAAATAATAGTTTTGTGCTTACTAATGACTGGCTTTGAGATTGACTTATCAAAGTTTGGTTTAGGGACTATGACATGTAAATATGAGGAGTTTGATAATATACACTCAGTAAGTGACTGGTGTAATACGATTGGTTGATCACTATACAGAGACAAATTTCATGTTTGTCTAATCCTTGAATACTGACTAATTTCTATCGACCGATTTGCAATGTGAACGGTAGTGTGAGTATATAGACATTGTCCTTCGATGTTAGGTGGTTGGATATATTTGTCAGAAAACCATAAACCTATGTTTCATGCTAAGTGGTATTAATCAACAGAACGTGCGTACAATTTCGGGGGAATCGATGCTCTCTGATTGGTGCGGAACCCCTCCACACAGCTTCAAAGTCTAAGGATTTATCATTGACTTGTTTTAAAAGTGTCACGTTTTGTAAGTACTTGGTCGTTACATATTCGATCGTGTATGTGGTTGTGAACATGTATTGCCTATGATTAACACAACAGGATGAGGTTTTCAATGGTTTACCAAATGTTGGTTCTAATCTGTTACGACCACAACAGACTTTCTATAGGATGAGGATGTTTACGCTGAATTGCGAGCAATGTTATGTTTCTCTAGTTTGTACCACAAAACTTAGGTTCATGGGTTCAATCACCTTGAATTATGTGGTACTTAGATTCAAACTACTGGATGTAAAATTTCTTAAACTAGTGGACATATTATAAATTGATCAACAGCACCACTGATGAGCAAACAAAACGTATTTCTATCAAACTGTCCGTTTAAGTGATCATAGAAACAAGCCATTGGATATTATTTAGTAATAAATCAGGGTAATTTTTCCTTGTTGATTATCTATGTCGTTCTTTACAATCCTAAATTCACATATAGTTATTTATTAGTCATTCGCAATCCTAATCTTACAATGTGATTATATTATAACAAGGTTGTTTTTATTTTACTGATTGATCTTCTTCCAAATATAAATAATTTTAGGTAAGTAACATATACAGAGCAAATTATACCCACTAGTCAAATAGGCTTGTAAAAACTTTGATTCTTAACTTTAATATGATCAGTTAGGTTACTGAATCAATACTTCCAGAATTCTTGTTTCAAGATTATTTTATATCGACCTGTGAAATGTAGTAACAATACAGAAATTAACTAAATAACTGTTTTGCACCTGAAAAGAGCTCAAGCACTATGAGTAGGTTTTGATTTGTTAAGAAGTAGATATATCTTCCTAATTAGTTTTACTCAGATGAATGTCTCATTTAAGGTGGTCTTATTATATATGATAACCAGTGCTAATCATTAATTTGACATTTTTAAATTCAAAACCGACTGAACCTTGTGAAATGTAGATTAATTAAAACACAGTTAAGGGCTATGCAAAAATGTGTTCGACTTGGAGATAGTTTCTATGTTAAGCCAAATCTTAACATGTTGAATTGCATTGAAAATAAAGGACCATTAGATTTATAACAACCGACAGGAAAATACCCTAGTCACTGGAAGAACTGTTGATATTCGGTTCGTGTATGTTCACCATGGAATGTTCTCATCAGAGCTCCTTAGTTTTCAGTAGTGTTTCAACTATTATCAGTACATCATAAAATTTACCATTTACTTTATTCATATCCGAATATTTTGGAAATTAATATATACACATACCTATTAAGGCACAATTTAGCAGTGTTTTGAGAAAAAAGCGCATCTTGAATCAGTTAGACAGTAACACTAGTAAATAATTTTATAAGATTCGAAAGGAGGCTACATTTGTCATAATATGTACGAAATAATTTGAACCTGTGTATTAATGAGTGTCGTCGATTTTATTTGGAATCAAACTCAAGTATATGAAAGTTAGTGACAATTATAATATAACCTACATAAAAAATGATTGTCTCAACTATTATCGAGACTAAATAAATGTTCTATTCAAGTCAACTAATTTTCCTTAAATCATATTGGGAAAATAAAGGTAACTTAGGTGGATCAATTAATAATATTTTTATTAAATATTAGTTTATAGATATTTCTATACATATAACTATGACTATTACTATTGTGTAGTGTTTGTATTTACCCAGTTTCAACCTGAAACATTTAGAAAGAAGATAAAGTAACTTAGTTTTTCCTAAAAACGCTTTCTAAGTATCTCTTCAAGTTGTTTATTCACGATATTTTTGTTAAAAGAACTCACTATATATGTGTACTTAAAGTGTTCAGTATAATCATTATAGTTTACTAGACTTTCCGTTTAAATAAGAAACCACTATAACTATATTTCTTATTATTATTAACAGGGTCAGGATCAAAGATAACCATTCTATTTTAAAAAGTAGTATCATTATACTACTTAATAAGTAGCCTAAATGTAATAGGTTATAATAAATAAAATTTAATCTTTTTCTTGATGAATTGAATTTCTCATATGATTAAATTAGCTTAAATTTTAATGCACATACGTATGAGTAATACATCATATGAAATATAATTAAATTCGAGTCATTGTAAAATACATCCATGTTGTAAAATATTTGGTGGTGTGTTAACAAGTGAACTGATTCACAAATGGAAATTATATTAATTCTATGATCCTCAACAGTAGTGCAACTTCATTTGTAAAATAAGTTCAGTCTTTAAGGAAATCAGTTAACCAGAATTTCTATGTGTTTTCGGGTTACTCTAACTAAAATGTTGAATATAAGGCTGTAAATTACGGTCGATACAATATAAGAGCAACTTTCATATTGATAAAATCCTCTTCTGTTCCAAATTTCAAGTCCAACCAGTAAAGTACTGATGATAAATATGTTTTAACTTGGGTAAAATAAGTCAAATATTTATTATCGATTTAGTGCAAAATGAAATTTTATTTTGGTTTTTATTGGTCGATTGTAATTAGTTGATTACAACCCGGAAGTCGAAAATTTCTAAAATCAACATGTCAGTTTAAATCTATCAATTACAAACAGGTACCCAGAGTTCAGCAAATCTTAAATACACTAAATAAATAAGCGCAATTTTTAGTATATTACTCAACTCACTTGAAAACAGTATGTCTAACATAAACATAGATATAATTACCTTCTGCATTGTATTTAATAATTAATGAACTAACAACTAAACAACTAATTTTAACCGATCTATAGTTATTAACCATGAAGTTTTTATAGAATTTATGTTAAAATCATGAAGTTTCTAACATGACTTGAACTTAATGACAGTACAACTAAAATAAGATAGAGAAGTGAATTATCTCTTATTCATTTACGTACATAAAGAATGGATAAAGATGATAAATAATTGAAATATGACTGATTAACCGATACTTCTGATTCTGAAAGTAATTGTATTCTTTACTGAAAATGTATTTAACTTAATCTTAGAATTCGAAATGAATAATGTATAGAGTTGTATTTACTATTTATCCTTATAGTTTATAAGGGAATTTTATTTTATTTAAATTTATTTTATAGTTAATCATAATGATATTATTGTTGAATAGTGTGTAAACGTTAAAGATGAATATAATAATACCCATAGATTTAAATTCATTAGATTTACAATGGAAACCTCTTAATTATTATTATAATTCATTGATTGAATTTTTTATTGCACATTTTGTAAGTTCTCTTTTTTAGTACTTGAATAATAATAATAATAATAAACCTTAAGTTACTTTTACCGTAGTTGTACAAAATATCATGCAATTTTCTTTAACGGTTACTAGATATATAGTTTATATCTTTTAAGCCTTAAACATAATGCATGATTGGTAATCTTACCCTAATTTGCAAACGTCGTTCGAAAAACTAAGCCTTTATGAAAACTAACCATACAAGTAAAAAAAATCATGTCTTGTAATATTGACAGATCTAGCATGAAAATGTTGCCTTGCTTAATATACTAATGGTCTATTAGCATTTTTGTCTAAGGAACACTGACTCTCAGAGGAGTTACGTAAGGATTTGTTGTCTAGAATAGTGTAAGGAATTTAAACATTGCGCGGTTTCTAAAATATACTTTTTGGTCAAAAACCAAATTCATGTTGTAAACATCAGGATAGAGTAAAATACATTAATTTTATTAAACGAAATTTAAAATATTTTAAGAAGAATGTTATATATTTGTTATTTCAGTTGAAATGTTGTGCTGTTGAAGATAATCAAGCAGATTTATATCTTCGTTCTGTTTGGTATTCACGTCAAATACATCAGTCTTCAGTATTTGGAACAAATTCAATACGTTTATTATCTCAAGAATATGATAATAATTTAGGAATACCAAGTGTAGTAAATGTTCCAGTGTCATGTTGTGTATATTCATTGGAAACTAAAGAATTTTCTAATCGTACCGCTTGTCAAATTGGTTCTTTAAAATCTAATTTAAATCCATATCTTAATCCTCATGTAAGTTAATTTTGTTGGTTAATTAACTTTGTTTATTCATTATATAAATTAATATTAACTGTCAAGAAGTTGTTTTATGTCTAGAAATCATTGATAATAAGTTAATTGTTCGATGAGGCATATAAATTACGATCATAATTAGTTTTGTTCTATTCAAACCAAAAAAAAGTTAATTTATTAAATTAAAAAAAAAAACATGTTTCAACCTTCTACTATAGAATGAATATAGTTAAAGTTTCCAAATAAACCAATCCTGTATGAAGTATGATTTTTATTCGCCTAGTAAAAAGACCATTTAATTTCGACTTCTGTTTAACTGTTTAGTTATTTATATTGAATTTTTTTTTAAAAAGAAAACAACTTAGAATCTATTTCTTCAATCGGTTCAATAGATAGTTATTCTTATTCACTTTTATTAACAAATGATAAAGAAGGTAACTGATGGTAAGAATATGTATGTATATACGTGTAAAAATAACTAATAAATTAAATAATAATTGTCTAGACAATTCATGTGATTTACAATATGGGTGGTAATTTCTATTTAACGTAAATATTATGGACATATCTAGTTGGTTGCGTGGTGGCGCCATATGGCAACTAACAATCTGTTTCTGACAGCATAATTTAAGAGATTATTTTAAAACATGATCACAAATGTGTTTTTTTCCTTATTTGAGTTTACTTTCAACGAGAAAAATATAAGTCGTTTAAGCTGAGCTCGCTGGTAATACAAGTTTCACTGATACTGTAGGCTTAAAACCACGATACACTCTAGATTCTATAAAATTAAATATTTTCATCAATGGGTGTTTAAAGTTGTTTTGAAAGATGATTTAAAAGAATTCGTATGTTTCAAATAATACATGCTTTATTCATGGAAAACGATAAGCAGTATTCCTTACTACAATTTTTTTAGTCATAACTATGTTTATTCGATCAGTAACAAGTAATAAACTATAATGTTAAGACAGCATAATATCTGTACAAATGTGAGTAAATCGTCAGAACGAAAGAATTTTAATGACTCAGTTTTAATTTTAGTGGCTATTTAACGATTATTTGGTAAGTTGTTTACTGTAAAGACGAATTTACTACAAATTCCTACTTAAAACTATCATCGTCTATTACTATATTGTAAGGAATTATCTTGAAACATTAGAATAATGTTTACCCATGAAGCAGCTGCTGAGCTCATTACGGCCATCTTAATTTTTAACTTCACCCTTCAACAATAATGGAGTTTGCATATATATATCATGTCTACATATTTTTCAATATATATGTTTTCTACTTTACGTATAATATGTATTATTATTGTGGTTCACAAAAGTATATAGTTGGTGGTTTGAATTAGTCGAACATGCATAAAGACTAATAGGACTGATAAGTCGTATTTGTTCATATTTGATTTAAGAGATTTTGGCATTCAATTATGAAAGTGTACTAAGAATGAGGGTCGAGTGTCTGTCTCTATCTATATGAAGTCATAATGCCAATTTGTGTTCGATTCTCATGGACTTAACTTGAATATATTGAAGTGTTTTGCTATATAGATATAATTATATAGAGAACACTCTATTCATATTTTTAACAAAATATGTTTCGAAATTTTGGCCCGTGTTAACACTATGCATCAGCAAAAATACTCATATATTATCGATACTGATGTTATATTTAATTACTATAAACACTAATGTACATAAAACATTATTTGACTGTAAGCACTGTTAAATGTCTTGTCATACTGTGATTTAAGTCCAAAATATTATTAGTCGAAATTTAAAGATAGCAAACGCTTTTCACAGGAGCTTATATTCCAGCATTAAAGGCCATATTTGATGCTAGTAAAAGTACCATCTGTTCATTCATATACTAACTAGATGAATAATGTGACTATAATAATAAATTTATGTTGAAAAGTTAATAGTATTCACTTTTTGTTGAAGTGCTCTACGTACATCGATAGAATAATGACGGAACTAGTCAACCAGACGTTTTTTAATTGTCTGATTTGAAGAGAAATTATCGGTATGTGGTTGTGAAGACAGTTAATTTTTTGATTGAGATCATGAATCAATCGATGTTAGACCAACATTGAAAACCTGGAAACACTGGGTGGCCGTTTCGTCCAAGTGGGGAACTCCTCACAAGTGTTCATCCACAAAATCACGCGCGCGATTTGAACCTAGTACCTTCGGTCCCGTGTGCGAACGTTTAACCTCCAGATCACTGAACTAGTGCTAATATCTCACTCCAACCAATCCATGAGATTGCGCGACCATCTTCTGTTGTATGATACCTGTCCCTACCTGACACGGATTAGCTCCACTAGATGCGCACTCCTAAGAAGTCCCATGCATTTTAAATGTATTTATTAGTTATCGAGTAAGTAGGAAAAGAATAGCCTACAGATGAATATGATTTCGAGTTTTGTGAATTAGGTGCAAAATACTTCACTGGCAGATACATAGTAGAATAAATAAATCAAGTTCACTAATTTCTCAAGTGTGTTATTTATATCCGTTTTCAGTAATCCCCATCATTAATTTATTTAGATATTAAATTCTGCTGAAAATTAGGTGACTATACTTATGACCGACCTGATTCACATCGCTAACTTATTTACTTAATTCTGTTGCCCCTCATGGGACATAGTCCACCAACTGGCAATCTCCGAACAACTCTTTCTTGGCCTTTCCTTTCTATTTTTTATCATATACTGTTGATTTTTCTGCTGTCTACTTCTGATTCCCAGTACAACTTGTTTATTGGTCTACCTCTTTCTCTTTTGCCTTGAGAATTCCAATTTAGGGCTTGTTTTGTGGTCTCATTTGACAGTTTCCATAGAGTGCCAACCATCCACTCCCATAGTGTCCTCCCGATTTCCTACTTATCTGGAAGCTAGTTTATTCTACAACATGGTTGATTATTGCTGATGGTCTCTGACGAATGGATCTGTGATATATTGCTTAAACAAGTTTATAATGATCTATACCTTTTTGATAATAGTTGTGGTATAGAGACCAGATAAGGGGACAGCTCAGAATGAAAATCACGCCAAAATATATAAATAAACGATTGAGGGCTATGTATGTATATAGTGTAAACCGTTTGTAACGTCATATACAAAATATAGATTCTTTCTGCCTGTTACCTTTTTCAACAGTGGCAGTTATTCGGGTTTGAGCTCCCTACGATGGAAATTCTTTTGACGTTAATATTGAATATTCTGATTTTGGTGTTGGACTATAGTTGTTTTGTGTCGCAAATATTCTTCCATTTTGGAACGCCATCCTTGCAATACCAGTGTTCACCTCCACAATTTAGTCCATCGTTGGAGTTCCGTATGATAATGATTATATTCTCAGGTACTCCATGGTACCATAGACGCTTCCGTAGGATTACCATATGTTCACTGTAAAATGCTTTCTTATAATCAGGGAAGTTGATGAACAGAGATAAGTTTCATCCAATCGACTGCTCAACAATTCAGTGAAGGAATATGTGTCACAATCTTCTTTTGAACATATAAATAGTTTTTGACGCTTGATAACAAGAGCTTCAGCAAACTTCAGAAGACTAGGGATTAGTTGTTTGTTATTCACTTTGAAGCATTACAAAATGTCCCGTATTCGAAGTTAAAATTCACTTAGGAGCGCGAATTACAAAACATGGAACGAACATCTTGTGCTCAAAAATCATAAAAAAGAAAAATTCAGTAATTCCGCTTTCAACTGATGACAAGACTTCTTAGACAGGGTAATATTTGCGTTTCAGCAGCTTTGTCCCTTCTCATTTAAAAGAGGTCTTGTTAGAAGGGTGTTCTGAATGGTAAACAAACTTTATAATGAAGATTACCTTGATAGGTAAGTGGGAAATATTCAACGAAATTTAGTCGAGAACAAACGTTTATTAGTGACAAATTTCTAAAATAAACTTCCACAACAAGGCATTATCATTAAAAGGAATAAATTTGTCAGAACTTCGTTTAACGAGGATGGCTATCTTCATTTAGGTCGTATTATTACTTTCAATTTACAGTTTTTATTATAACTGTTCTTAATATTTTAACACCATCTAATGAACTGTTTTATCTCTTTCCAATATAGCCTCCCAAATGACTGCATCTTTTTATGCCATTTTCAACAGTCATTATCACTACTATTGTGATTACCATTATTATGATTACTTTATTTACCATTGTCTTTTAGCAGTTATTTTTTCCACTCTAAATTGCAATAATCAGACAACGTTTTTGTAGTCGATTACGTCACGACCTCTCTTTCTCTCTTTCCCGTTTATTCTATTCATCCATCCAATAAATTTGTAACAAAACAATAGTGAATTAACTCACACATTAAATAATATTTGTAAAACATTTTATTTCTTCATAGAAATCATTTCACATGTGAAAATCTTGAGTACGACAAATGAAGTGAATTTAATTCATCCTAAAATGTTTACTGTTCCTTTTTTAAAAAAGTTTACCATAGAAACTAATTGCATGGAAATGGGAGAAATTTAGACGTCTATATGCCTACTCAATGACTGTTTTTATGGAGATCTGTAGAAAGAAAAACTAGCTTAGAGTTAACATAGTGAAATGTCAGAATGGGTTTTGAGGAGAGTTTTAGAAATTTCACGGGTTGAAATCATGAGTCAATTGAAGCTAGACCACCATAGAAAACCTGGAAGCACTGGACGGCCGTTTCGTCATAGTATGGGACTCCTCAGCAGTGCGCATCCACGATCCCGAACCCCGCGGGATTCGAACCCAGGACCTACTGGTTTCGCGCGCGAGCACTTGACCACTAGACCACTGAGCCGGCATCCGACGGTGTTACTGTCTAACTTCAACCGATCCACGAAGTTGCGCCACCGTACACCATTGTCCTCAGTGAGCTGTTATCTCACATTAACACCGTTGGGTGCCGGCTCAGTGGTCTAGTGTTTAAGTGCTCACGCGCGAAGCCAGTAGGTCCTGGGTTCGAATCCCGCGGGGTTCGGGATCGTGGATGCGCACTGCTGAGGAGTCCCATACTAGGACGAAACGGCCGTCCAGTGCTTCCAGGTTTTCCATGGTGGTCTAGCTTCAATTGACCCATGATTTTAACCTGTGAAACAGTGAAATGTATTATTGTAACCTCCTAGATCTAAAGGATTTTTTATACACAAAAACTACTTGTAATATGACTTACTATTTCATCTGAGTCATTATTATATTAGTTCTAATATCACTACGATTGATTTTTATCAATAACACTTTTAGTTCGGTGGATGTTTATCACATTGACCGTTTCTCCTCGTCTACAATAACTGCTTTATTTCTCATCTCATGATTAAGTCACATAACATTTATTATTTGAATTATATGACCCTTAATCACTGTTGATCATTCACGTTAAATTCATTTCTTGTCCCAACTTTTAGATCGTCATCCAAAGATTTTTACGTTCAGTTAAAATTATTTTAATCACAAACTAAAATCATGTTTGTACTGGCTGTTACAACATAGCAGTCGTAGATTTGCTACTCTAAAGCTTAAAGTTGGAAATATCCGTTATATTTATTTATTTTGAGATTCTTTTTTATGGCACTGTACAGTTGAAACTATGCACTTTCAATCCCTAACTTATTTGGAAATGAAATACCAGCTAACTGCATAAGCATAAATTCAGTTTATTTTTTATTTGTTCTGTTAAATTAATTATTTAACAGTGATCAAATGTCTTGTTCACATTTGTTAATCTACGTGTGATAAAAAACATAAACACTCTAACAAATTAATTTCTTTTGTATAATTTTTGAATAGAAAGATAATTCGATTGAATAAAATATTGTAAAACAATGGATACATGTTTGCTTCGTAGATATACAGATTCAAGAAAATTAACCTCTATATGACAGTCAAGAATTGAACTTTTGATTGAGGCATGGATGAGCGAAAACTGGGCCTTTCGAATAATGGTTTGAGATATTACACAACTTATTCCTTAAGAGATTCTATACATTTCATTTTGTACGGGATTTAACGATATACAATGGTTTCGGTAGCTAATGCGGAAACGATTATGTCACACTGGAACGTACTCACCTATCAAAACACTGAAAAACGTTTCGTTAATACAACAATTCCGCCTCAATCAACTTATATGTTGCTAACTTTATCAGGCAGAAGTGGTTCGTGTTCGTCCAACTAACCCTGTTTTGTTGTCGGCCGTGCCGGCTTGGAATACCGTTTCGTTTAAAGACTGTGTCAGTGAGCATTTCGTTAAAAGCTGTCGATCAATCATCACCTACTGATCTGGGTTTTCTCTATCATAACCAAACACAAAACATATCTTCATGACACTATCAGCGAAGATGAAAAGTGATGTTTAAGATCCGAGTACCGTTGAGAGTTTTGAAATAATTATCTATTCATGTGAATCAGTCATAATCAGAACACGTTATAATATCTTGGAATTTGTCTTAAGAGGTTAAAATCTAAGCATAATTCACGAGTTGTTAAGTTGCATTCTAGTGTAATTTAGAAGTATGTACAGAAGATGAAAATTTTAGATCACAAGAAGTGATTGAGAACTGTGATATAATGAAGCCGATGAAGTGGCTTGACGTCACTGATAGTTCAGATCCAATCTACTGTCGTCAGAATTACAGAAAACTTTTTAACACAAAGTTAAGAAAACTTATTTCCAATTTCTGTTTACTCAACTGTCCTGAGTAGACTAATTTATTTAAACGCTATCCAGAAGCTATAAATCAAAAAATATTTGTAAAAGCTATCGTTTGTAGCCCAAAAACTCTACTTAACTATTCAAATTGATCGTAACGAATTGTGTAACGGATATAGTGAAAAAAAAGACTGGAATAAAAGCGCAGTCTCATGTCTATTGAAGAATCTGGTGAAGACAAAAAAATATCTTGAACTTTATGTACATAAATCAGCTTCAGTCTGTGTTAGGAATAAAGATATGATTTATTAGAAACTGAAGAAATTAACGGGAGAGTCGAAATTGATGGTATCATAGTAACGTTATCACAGAGGTACTTTAAACTGTCTCTTAAAAGATGTTATATAACGAGCAGAATTAAACATTATTATCAGGTGTTAATTTCATTAAAGCATAAGTGGGCTACAAATTAACTACACATTATGATTAATATGCGATCAAATATGATGCATCTAAACTGAAGTAAGCTGAATAATGTATATTGATTTTAACTCACGGCACTTTTCTATTTAAGGTTAAAATGGGGCTGAGAATGAGCGTTAAAAGGGGTTAGCTCTAAGTAATCGTTCGAGAAACAATAACAATTTTGTGTTGATAAATTGATAAGTTTAGTTAGCTACAAGGATAGATCTGGACAAAATGTATTAAAGCAGCTGAAAACTGAAGAGAATCAGGAAACTTTGATTTTTGAGGCCTGAGAATTCCACAGCAATATGTTGTGTTGTTATATTAGTCTTATTTTCACTCTACACTGAGTTTTACGGGGTCTTTCAATGTACTCCAATTTTTCTACATTTTGATATTTCTATTAGGCTGCGGTTAAATGTCTCGACTTTTTCATACTCATTTAAAGTGTATTAGCTAGCAATGTTCTAATGATAAGCCATTTCCGTTTTCAGTTTGTTTCAATATGATGCCTACTGTGTTTAGAATACTAAACAAATTCTATTCCAAGTTAACAGTAGTTATTCACTGATTACATATAGAGTGCAAAATATGACCTTTTCGTTTTAATGAAACTATCTGCTTGAGATTTCCTAGCTTGATATATATAGACAACGACTATACATAATTAATATCAGGATTCATTAATTCTTTTTATCCGTAAAATAGATTATAGAAATTGTAGATTCTAGGTAATTAAAAATTTAATCTGTTTGTTGATTTTACTTACTAGGGTTGTGCAAATGTGATTATTGCCCTGCTGTATCAGTATTTCATCCCATTAATTATAATGGTTGTCATATTGGCCGTACTAATGGTAAGTGAGAGTATAGATGTGTCTCAAAGTTTTTTTAATCATTCATTTCTGCTTATAAGGCTTGTGACTTAATACAATACAGAGAAAATCCTCACAGGATGCATATATGCCAAAAGAGACTGATCAATTGCAGTACTAAACATCACTGGAAAGATTCAAACAACCATACGACTGGATCATGATTTGTTAGTTTTTGTGAACTTTTTCTGAAAACAGTTTTGTGGTTCTATATTTTGTATTATGATTTCGGCCCTATGATAAAAATAGTTACTAATCACTTAAATATTCCCATCAGATTTAAATAATTTTGCTTCCTATCAGTAGACACGTATTTAAATAATTTCTTTTAGTGCTAAAATTAAACAAATATTTGTCAAATATTGTGTTTGTTATTTTGTTCCGTCATAGATATTAGAGAGTTTGGGACAAATATTTACGAGAACAAGTTGCTACAAGTCGAATTAGCACAGTGACAGAAGAAATTAACAAAATATAAAGCAATGTGGTCAGGCTAGGTAAAGGATATATATTTAAAAAAGAACAGATTAGATGTATGGAATAACGCTTAACCTCAAAATATAAAGAACATATATAAATGAATGAATTTGAGTCAGTGTTTCATATTTTCGGCAATGTTTTTTTTAAGGTTTTCCGCCACAAATTATGGTTGGTTTGTGGATTCTAATCAGAATGTTTACACATTTTGGTATGGCTCAAATTAACAGTTACTGGTTTTATGAATTGATATCATATCTTCATCTAATTGTCTCTAGCATTTTTCTCAAATCACGCTTGAACAAGCCAATATAGAAGATGTGAATAAAAGATATAGTACATAGTTTAATTTCAATTATCATTATATACTTGACATATTAGAAAATTCTTATAAGACAGTTGTTCATTACTGTTCATTATGTGAGGAAGGATATCCTTCTTCTTAATGACAATGTTTATTATTTAATAATTTAATGCAAGAGTTGAAATAATGTTAAGTGAATATTACTTCACAGTGTAATATACATAAGAATCAAATGATAAAGTTTTGATTATACATGACAAAATTGAATATGACATATGGCATTGAGGTATAGTATTGATGAATATTGTTCATCCACCTATTCCTTGATTTATTCAGGCTGGAATGTATGTATGAATCGTGATACGTGGTTTATGCATGTAAATTTCCAGATATGAATAGAAATCATGTTTATCCTTATCTGGAACATGTTGTTTTTAACTCTAAACATTTTTGATATTAAATTGTCATTGAATATTTGAATGAAAATATTTACTGTACAAATGGATTACCAGATGGTTACAAATATTATGATCAAGCTCTGAATGTGAAATGAAGTCTGTCAAATAAAGCAGGTGAAGAGTTTGTCAGGGTAAAAAAATTCGTTTCACTATGAGCTATGCTTAATTGTAATCATATGGTTAGACTTT